CTTGTCTGGATCATAACTTGAGTTCTATAAATCCAATCAAGGACTTCTAGTAATCAAATTAAAGCTAAGAACATGCTATACAAGTTACATTTTGGTCAAAAGTTGAGATGAAACTTGTATCTTGAGATAGGTGGTCTTGAAGTCAGGCCTAAATAGGGGATTTTACCCTGAGAACCCTAATTTAGTAACTTCTCACACACTTGATCCTTGATGAATTGATCTTGAAATGATATCTAATATATCTTAAAACCATATCCCATGACCATAGAGACTTTGAGTTGAGTTTTAATCTCCTTCAATTACACAGTTGACTGAGGATTAGCCAGATGAAACCCTAATTGCAACACTTTCAACTGCAACTCTTCACACTTGTTATACACACTTGGATGAGCTCCACAATGACCTTAAATGCACTCAATGAGCTCTCTCAACATCTTATGTCCATAACCATGAATCCACAAACCTCTGATGATCTTCAATTGGTCTCCAATTTAGGCGTTGGTCCACATACATCCATCCTTTCCTACATAAGACTACTGCCCACTTCCAGATGATTTGATGACCCTCCAAACTTGAGTAACACCCTTAGCTTAGGCTCAAACTTCTGAGTGGACTCCCTTTGCTATGCACAAACTCTTGATCCCCTGTTCAATGAAAAATGTTATGCAATGCAAATGCTAGAAAGAAATGAAATGAAACATAAACCAAGTTAAGAAAAGGTTGGGCAAATTTTGGGGTGCAACACCTGTACACACATCATTAAGTATGTCCTAACATTTAGTTTGACATACAGGCACACTTTAAGGTTTTGCCATAAAATGCAGCCAATCAAGAGCACTTACATACCCTATTCCTAAATTTTGACTATTTCGACCCATATTTACCCTAGATCCAGATCCCTGTAATAGCGAAGTCATTACGGGTTCTGTATATAATAGAGGGGTGTTTTGTAAGTTTGGCATCATCGAAGTTGGCATTCCATAGGATGGGTCTCGAGGTAAAGGCATTGAAAACCCAGGGGGAGGGATGCCTCTGAATGTTGAAGCCCTTATTGGTGGTGGAGTCTGTGGAGGACCCTTTGGCCCAATATAATTCAGAATAGGTTACGTATCAGAAATCGGATGTGTGGATATCGAACTTCCCATATATGGTATTGCTTTAGAAACAGGCGTTGAGACTGTTGGTCCTCCTGTCGGAGATCTAATGGGTTGTTCTATATTGTTATTTGGGATATCCTGAGAAATATTTAGCTGGTTTGAATTTGTCGTCATTCTCCTCTTATATCTCCTTCTTGTTTTATCTTCATTAACGGTGACCACCTTACCACTTCTTAGTAACATGCAACGAAACTTTTCGAAGAAAAAAGTTGACCACAAAACTAATAAATTTTTTCCAAAAAGAATTTAGAAGCGATTCTTATGATCACTTAGCACTGGCCCACTGGGCGTGCCAATTTGTTAGCTGTAAACATTGGTGAACAACCGCTGGTCTTACAAATCGAAAAAGATTTGTTTTACTTACAAGATCGACCACACAAATCCTATGATATATGCTAATTGATCTTTAAATAAAGTTTATAAAAACTATGAACACTTCGACGAAGTTCATGATAAAGCAACTTATTTCAAATGTAAATGAATTTAGGTGACAAGAAGTAAAATCGAAGTACTGGTAAATGACGAAGATAAGAACTTGCATAAAGAAAGAATAAATTCTTAAAGAAAGATATTTATTAAATTGCATTGAAATGAAAAACTGGTGTTGCGTCAACGTACATTCTTACAAACTCGTTTCTCTCAACACACGGGTATGTGGAGTATACTGAAGAATTTGTACACAATTGAACACACGCCCAAATCCTAACACTAAGACCTGCTATTTATAATAATAAAAAATAACTACCATTAATGGCTAGCAAACGAAATCAAGACAAGTTTCGCTATGCATGCCTTCGAATCCTAGAAGCGCTCCACGTGTCTTCTTTGAAAACGAATTTTCCCTCTTTTATTTGAATTCAAATGAAATCGTCGAAATACCCTTAGTGACACCTCTGTCGAATCGAGTATTCCAATTGCTAAGGAATATCTCTAAGTCCATAACATATATTCTCCTGGCGAAAGGACACCTTCGACTCCCAATTCAAAATATGGCTCCAGTCAAAATAATTATATTTGTTTAGAAACTCTATTTGTTACTTTTAATTTCATTCAGGCGTCAAAATTAAGAGCCAACAGGGTGTTGTTTTGGTTGTTGTGCGTGATTTTAAGAGTGACTTAAGGGTTTCACATGTTGTTGTTATGGTGGTTGTGCAATTCGTCTTTTTGGCTGGATAAAGGTAAGGGAGATTAATATTGTAGCGATGGTGAAAGGTGGAACTAGAGGTTACTTTGAGTGATGAAGATGACGATGACGTATGAGGGAGTATGCGTTAATGTATGAAGGCCTGTTTCCAGCTGGTTTTGAGTGATGGAGGATGAGAGGGTGACACATTAAATATATAGTGGCAGCGGAGTGGAGCAATGTATGAGGGAACCTTGAGAAGTTACAGGTTTTTCGTTGGTGAAGGTGAAGGAAAAGATATGAAAATGAGATAATGTGACTGAAGAATGGAGAAAAATATCAGTTTTTTTTTTCTTTTCCTCTTCGATTCCTTCATTTATCCACCTTTGAGAGAGATTTTGGACCATTGAAAGCGCCACAGGTGTGCTTGGATTAACGAGTCTGAGTCTTTTTTTTCAACTTATGACATATGAGTTTATATATATATATATATATATATATATATATATATATATATATATATATATATATATATATATATATATATATATATATATATATATATATATATATATATATATATATATATATATATATATATATATATATATATATATATATATATATATATATATATATATATATATATTAGGGTTTTTATTTTTAAATCAATATTAACGATATCCTTTAATGAAATAAACTCTAAATTAAAATGAAGTAAAAATTCAAATGTATTTTAATAAACACAATTAAAAATCAAAGAAATATTTGTTTATTCCTAATTATTTCTCTTAATACATTAATAAAAAAATAAAAGGGATTAAAATGAATAAAAATTAGTTGCGAAAATGCGTGAAAAAATAAAGTGAACACGTTAAAATGATATACGCAAAATAAACTTATGTAAAACAGACAGATAAAAATCAAATTTAATAATAAAAAAATGTTTGGTTGAAAAGGCTCAGACTGATCAAAATGCGATCGCAAATGGAATCGAAAAAAGTTAAACGAGTACGTCGGGCTAAGCTACGCGAACTATGGATCAACAAAACAAACAATTGCGAGTTCGATCTCAAATTTTTCCGTCCGTTGATTTTACGCCCAATTGAAAATTATTTCAACTGACCTGTCTATAAAATCAAAATTTTATTCTAAGCAAAACAAAATGAAGTTGGATGCATGGAAGTTTAAAATGCCTGGACAAAATTGGGGTACGACACCCAATCGTCTTCAAAACAAATGGATTCTATACTTAAGACTTTCTTGTAGAAGGAACTCGATAGAGAAATGAGGAGCTCCATGATGAATTCGACAAAACCCGAGGAAAAATACGGAAAATCAATGTCACTATCACTAGATGAACTATTGGAAAAACCAAACATCTTCGTCTCCACAAATTTCCAATCCACTTTCCATTTCCACGTTTTGAAACTTGTAAGCATCGGTTCCACAACTCATATTTCTCAAAAATAGTTTTCAGCTTTATGGCTCTGCCGAACACATAACACCCTCGAATAAACACATAACTAAGAAAAGAAAAAATAAAGAGTAAAAAGTGTCGATGTATTAACTATGATTTTTAACAATTAGAGAATGAAAGAAGAGAAAAAGGATTGAGTAGAGAGCAAAAAAGAATTTTATTAAGAAGTAGAAGTTAAAGTGATTTTAAAGAAGAAAAAGTTTTGTCCATTTAAAGACAGAAGTGACAGACAAAAAAGTGGCCATACTTAATGCAAACAGTCTAAGGATGTAGAGGTTAATGATGAATCTTGTTTCTATGTGAGTCATGAGGCACTTAATAATAATTAGGACTAACCAAAACTTAATTCCCTAATGAAAATAAAAAGGTCAAGAAACATGACAATAACCACATTAAAAATCGATCGCGACTTTAGGTGACAACATAAGGAGACTCAACATTTCACCCTTATATAAACCTACACATCTCACCCTAGCAGACCCCATGCTTGAGAGACCATGTACAATATGATCTCCTACCTAAAATATAATCTGATTTTTTACATAAAATATTTCACTTTTATAAGTCTCATACTTCAGAGACAATCTCCCACTTAAAACATTTTATTCTTATAAACCTCATGTTCAGGAGAGTACATTCTAGTCTCCCCATCTAGAATTATTCTGACGAATTCTAATCCAAAATCAATAAAAACTATCTCATTCCCATTCTATCCACAAATACAAAACCTAAGACAATAAACAAACCAACACGAAATGAATATTCAAAGAAATTAATCAACCTAATGAATAAGATTAGACAATCGAGCAATGGTTACATAATGACTATTAAATAGTCTTTATAATCACTAGATGTGGAATAAGGCACACTGCATAATAATATAAGGGAAGCTAAAAAAGATTTTTTTTTGTAACTTTTTATTTATTAGAATGGGTATTTAGGTTGGAGTTTTTCATCTAAAATCCAGAAGAAAAAAATAATAATAAAAAAAATGGTACTAGCATTTGATATTTATTTAGATTCCTAGTTTTTTTTTTTTTTTTTTTTTCTGAATCGAAGAACACACACACAAACAGAGTCTGAGATTCCATTTCTGAAAGCTCAACGTTGAGTTACCCTCAATCAATCTCCGACCTTTTCGATCACAACTTCATCTTCGTCTCTATCACTCCCTTGCGGCGTATTTTCCAAAGCCCCTCTCTTTCTGTTACTTCTTTCATTTCCCCATTCTCAACAAATAATGTTCTCTGTCAGGTAAACCCTTTGTGTTCAATTCTCTATTTGCTTAATGTATCTAATGCAATTGGATTGTTGTTACTAAATTTACAAACTTTTATTGGTTTTAGAATATGGGTTGCTTCAATTATTCGTTTATGATGGTTAATTAGTTATTGTTTCTACGCATTATTTTGATTTGGAGTTTTTTTTTTTTGTTTGTGTTAGGGATTTTTGGAGGCGGCATAGGAGGAAGATTCTCATCTCTGTCGGTGTTTTAGGAGGTGGCTATTGTTTGTATAACCTTTATGATGTTCATAGGCAAAAGCTCCATGGCCTCGAGAGGGAACTTCAAGTTCAGAGAGAAACTGAGGAGCGTATAAAGGATCAGTTAAGTCAAATATCCATTTTCAATGCTTCTTTCTTGTTTATAATTATTAGATTCATAGATAGATATTTGAAAAAAAAGGTGTATCTGAGTCCGTGTTTGTGTCTTAATTTATTCATTTTTTGAAATTATTACTCGTGTCAGTGTGTCTGGTGTCAGTGTTTGTTTCTGGTGTCTGTGTTTCATAAGTTACAACAAATGTTGATGGCATATCTTTGTTTTTTGTGGCAATTGACTATGATAGGATGCAAGCTCACTTTGAGAATATTCAGAGAATTTCTGATACAATTACATTACCTCATTCTATGCACCACCTAAGTTGCCGGATATCAGAAGAGTTGAATCTTTCTCACCTTCTTGAGAGGCTAATGCAGGGAAAGGGTCAGCCCAACGCTTTAACACAATCAGAGAAACTAGATTTATGGGGTAGACTCAAGATTTTAAGTATGAATCTGCTCTTGTCTCCCATGTTTATTTTATTGCTACCTTCGTGGTTGTGTTGTTAAATCAACGAGGCTTAAAATTCTATGCATATTTTCCTCAGGTTTCACAAGAATGGCGTTGTCAATTTGGGCAACAGTAATGCTTTGCTTGTATACAAAAGTTCAAGTCAATATACTAGGAAGGCATCTATACATCGATACTGCACGAAGCTTTGAAACCGCTAATTTAATGGTAAGAACAGGCGCACCTGTCTTTCTTCTTCTCATGATCATTCAACCTGGCACTATTTTTCTTTTCTTTTTCGATTCTCCTTTATGTATAAACTATTTCTATAACAATGTACAAATTAAAGTTAACTTGTTTTCATATATGCTATACTGGAGTGCTTATGGAAGTAAGCTGAAAACAGCTTATGGACACGTAAAAACTGTTTTATAAGCTCCCTCAAACAATCACAGCCAGATCCTTAGTAGAATCAGTAAGATTTGGAAAGAAGAAACTACAATTAAACACCTTATTACGAGTTTCTATCATACATATTTATTAGCAAATATGATTACGGAACTTTGTGGCTTCACTAAATGTTATAATTACTATTTACAAAACCTCTGATTTTGTTTACTGATCACACACAAGTGATTGAGTCATAAAATTATTACAGCAGCAGAGCTATTGAAACCCATTATTGGTGAATATATCGAAAAATTTAATTTGAACATTTCCTCCCCAATGGAAGGTAGCACAAATTCTTTGATAAAGGAATAACGTTAATGATATTGATAACCAGAGGAAATGTGTCTCCTTAAAGGTTTATGTTCTACTAATATTGAGGTATTAGAATTTTCATAGCTTTCCAATCAAGCTCTTTAGGGAATGTATATTATTGTCTTCGGATGGTTAACTTTTAATCATGGCAACTGAACCATACTTGCTCAACTTCAATGTGAATACTTTCCACCAAATTCATATATATGACATGCCACATTGAATCATAAAAGTATTTTCTTCTGAGTTGCTTTATGTGCAGGAAAGTGGAGATGTGGTCGATGGTGAGGGCCAGCAGAAATTTCTAGGAAGTGTTGATTTTCTCTCTCAGCATGGTATGCCTGCCTTGATTTCGGACATGGAGGCGGCAACAAAAGAAGTTCTCAAAGGGTGATGTTTCTTTTATTATTCTGAAGGTTAACAATTTGTGAATTCAATTCGATAATAATTGAAAATATTGTCTCGGATATATGAAGGGTTTTCTTTTAATGTTTTCTGTGAAGTATAGAACAATCTTAATTAGAAATAGTTTGAGCTGTTGGATTGTGTTTGTTTACCAATGTAGATAAAATTGCCAGTAGCAAAATCTGTATTTTGAAACTTGCCATTTTGCCAACATTAAATCTGTTCTTGATTAAGTATCTGAAAGTGAGAGACCCAGATAGCTTCCAATTCTTTACGGTTTAACCGTGTATAGTATATTCTTATTAAACATTTACCTGAATAGTAAATAAACTTGGTGAATATCTAAGTTCAGCAACATTAACATGTCTATACAACCCATGAGCTGCTCTTTTAAAAGTTCACCAATTATTGTGCCTCACTCGGCCCCATGTTTTTGCGCAGACACATATTTGTAACACATGCACATATAGAGAATGACAACCAGCGATGAGTTCTAATCAAAGTTGGGGCTTGGAAATTCTACTTTTTTTTTTCTTAGAATATTGTTATGTTTTAGATTGATGATTAAGACTCAATTTAAATTGGCTATGTACAATTTCATTGTGCAGAAAGCAGTTGACTAGTCTCTTCAACTATACAGCATTTCAAGAAACCATCACACAGATACTGAACACTTTCATGAGCAGAGGGAGTCCATTTTTCTGGGTCAAATATATGATACCTGAGGATGCTAAATTACGTTCCACGGCCTCTGGGAGTAATGACACAGGTCCATTTTATATTACTGAATTTGAACAACTCATGATGGAAGCACATGCAGTATTATCAAGGTATGTTTTGGATGCAATTGGTTGATTACAATTTACAACTACCTAGAAACTCAATAAACATGTGCATGAACTCTACTTGTAATTAGGATAGGAATAGGCTGGGTCGAACTAGGCTCTGCCAAGCCTGAGTCAGACCTGCTAAAAATTTCAAAGTCTAAGCTTGGCCTGTAGTCTACCTATTAGCATACGTTTTGTGATACTATTTGTTTGAGAGAACGTATTGAAACAACTTATAATATTGTTCACAAAGATTTTTCAACTTACTTTTATAATATCTTCAAGATAACTATGCTTTATTTTTGTATTTTAATTCAAAGTATAAAATACACTATAACAATAATAAATTTGTTCATGTTTACTTAAATAGATCGACATGATAGGCTTAAAAGACTTTTAATATGGCATGTGGCCTAGTCTTTTTTAGCTAAATAAACTTATAAAAAATCTAAGTCTTTTCTACTTAAACTGGTCTAGCCCGGGTCTGTGTAGGCTAGGCCGTAGACCTCTGTTAGTTGGTTTGGCTTATTCCTACCCCTACTTGTAATGCAACTGGTGACTGATGACTGATGCATTTTTTGACAACTATGAAAAGCATATACACGTGACATGACATGGACACAGAGACACTGCTAATGTCCGAAATGTAGGAACGACCCCGACACATATATTTAGCATACTAGCAGTCCTATTTAAACAATAAGTTTCATAAACATCTCCAATGATTATTTCTCCATTTTTTCCCCACAGTGCTGAATTTGGGAGCGTTATAGATATATCTCTGAAAGCTGTGGTGGATACACTGGCGGAGCAGATGGGGACTACAACCGTGCCGTTGGCGAGAGCATTGCCCCAAATTGCACAGATGTGTCCTTTGCTCCTCGAAGAACCCAGTAAAAATCAGTTCATCCAAATCATTAATAATATACCAGAGGTTGAACTTTTTCTCACTTTTCTCTATGCAAACATACCAAGTGCAGAGAGCCTAGTGCATAATGATTAGTATCTTTATGTTTCAAATGAAAAAAACCAAAAAGTTGAAATTCATTACACAAAAGGCGTAAGACAATGTACAAAAGTTTAATCGAGATTCGAAAGAGATAGTAATAGGTAAATTGTTAGACATTTCCGTTTTGGTGTAATATCATTGAATAGTTAGTGTTTCATAATGGTCCTCCCATTGGCTTTAACTTGGGATTTGGAGGAGCAAGGTTCAGTTAGGATTAGTTTTGCGTTATCCACATTGTACATGCTGGAAAGGGAAAATGACTTATCTTTAATCATCTCTTCAATAACTTTTGTTCATGCATTGTTTGTCAAATTGGCCTTTCAAATGTTCTAACAATGACAGTGTTTGTTATCATAATTCTGCCAAGTAGGAGTATTTACATGTATTGAATCATGTAAAATTTCAGGGATTATAGTGACAGAAAGAAAAACAGTGGATTTTAAATGTTTCCGGAAATATACTTCAAAAGTATATTTTCAGACTTTTTTTATTAAAAAAAACGAGGATGTGACTCGTTTACATATGAATTTAGTGTAAATGGGTATAATATGAATTCAAAAATGTATTTCTGGAATAAATAAGACGTGTTTTAATGTAAAAATGATGTGTTCGAAGATGATTTTCGATATCGGAAAAATATTTTCGAATTTTCATAGGGATATTTTAAGGTACACAATATATACAATGGTTTCATGTAAAATAAATAAAATCAAATAAATATTCACACAGACCTAGAAGGATTCACTAGGACAAGGTTTTTAAGGCTCTACAATGATCTTTCTGGATGATATCAACATTACTAAAATGAGAAAAATCATAATATGAACATGTAATGAGTTATAAAAATACATTACTTATAATTTTAAATGATTATCAACATTACTAAAATGAGAAAAATCATAATATGAACATGTAATGAGTTATAAAAATACATTACTTATAATTTTAAATGATTATGAGGCTGATGGTAATAGATTGAGTTTGTTACCAAATATAAGAATTGATTTCACCTGGTTAGAAGGAGTCATTGGCCGGCCACACGTCTGAGATGTCTAACTGCTGGAGAGAATGGAAGGGGTGTACCTGAAACACACTCCGATGCCAAAGTAAGAGTCGGGCATAGTGATAACAAGTACAGAAACAGAAGTAAGAATGAGATTACCTGGCCCTCTAGTGAAAGAAAGTATTTATAGTGTGCCCACAACGCATGACCAACGATTACTTCGCGTTGGGCTTGGTTGTCGGGCTCAATACTGGTAACTGCTAGGGCTGACGTGGCGTCAGGAAGACCAGTACGTGGTATTTTTCCTAGTGTAACTGCTTCGTACTATCCGGGAGGTGGAGGATTGAATAATCAGGGCACATGTAGTTACCTGATGACGTGTCTCCCCGTAGGGGACACGTTGAGAATGTGAGGGAGGTCAGAGGAGCCCTCCGAGCTGGATAGGGTCTGCCCGACGGTTGGGCAGAAGGGAGAGCGTGCCTAGTAGATGTGAGGTGACTGCTCAACTGTCAAGAGGTTCGTGCTCGACGGGAGAAAGGACTTTGCCCGACGGGGAGGCGGTTTAGGTCTTATTGGACCTTCCAACCCGATGTGGGTTTGGGCCTGCTCGACTGTGGGCCAAGTGTCGGTCTAGTCCAGAACAGTAGCCCCCGCAAGTCGTTGCTCGTGGTCAAACGAGCTATGTCTTAAAGTGTAGAGGTGTTGAGCATGTTGCTTCGTCGGTCTGCCTGCGGCCCTATTGGTCGGGCGAGTCTACGATGCGCGGGGAGGCTCGCAGACGAGGAAAGGGAATTTGAAGAGACGCGGGAAAAGCTGAGAATCGCCACATGTCACCCCAGGGAGGTTACGAGCTAGGTACTTGAATGCCTAATGACGCTTCATTTCTCGTGCTAGGGGTGTATATATACGTGGGGTCAGTTCGCCTTTTCACTCAGTTGTCTCCTTGTTGCCGCTCAGTTTTCTGAATTCTCTGCTCGACGTCTACAACATTTCTGCTCGCCGCAACCACCGCTTTTCGCCTTACCACGTAAGTTTCTGCCCCCTCTACTGGTGTTTTAGTAGGTTTTCGGAGGCGTTTCCGACGGCTCAGACGGGCCTGTCGGGGAGGTCGTGGATGTTTCTGGCGAATACGCCAGAAAGTCCTTCAAAATTAGGATTCTAACCGAACGTCCCTGGCACTTGCGGTGAGTGGCCCGGGGAGACGTGACGATTGTTGAATGCCCCAAGGGTGTTTGATGAATACCCCTGGCACGATCGATGAGTATCCCGAGGACAAAGGAGAATTCCTCGGGGACGATGAGGTATCTAGGGTTAACCCAGATTGGTCCTCCGGGTGACCCAGGGGTGTGTCGTAGTTCTGCTCAGCTTCGGGCGTCCACGCCCTTTCACTTGAACTGCGGTGGAAGGGTGAATTTGATTTAGCTGTCGAATTCACCGAGTTCCTCTACTTTTCAAGTAAATGGTTGCCCGTGAAGAAGAAAAAATAACGTGGTATCTGTCCGACAACGAGGGGGTCGCCAAGACGGGACCAACGTGGAGCCTCCGGACAGGCCGGCAGAAGAATGGGTTGGGGACAAACCCCGTAATTACATGTCACGTTTCATTGACGATGACGCGGATGTCTTCGCTGTAATCGAGGACAGAGTCGTCGGGGCTCCTCGCTAGTTTAGGGCATGTCGCCCTTGGGAGCAGGATCGTATTTGTTCTCGTTATGACGGGGGATGATTCCCCATGTACAAGTTTGCGTTTAAGGAGGCGGGGTGCGCTTGTCGTTCACAGGTTTTCAACAAGGAGTTTTCGACCATCTGATGTTGGCGCTCTCTTAACTCCACCCCAACTCTCTTGCCTTCATCCGTGCCTTCGAGATCGTCTGCAACTATCTTGAGCTCGGGGCCACCATTCCACTCTTCTTCTACGTCTTCCATCTGCAACGACATATTGTGGTTGAGCGACGCAATTAGGCATCCCTGAAGCAGCCGACCAGGCTCTTCCGGCCGTACACAGATTTTGTCCCGGGGTTCAAAGACAGGTGGTATGTGGTGATGTCGGAGACGAACAGGGCCATCAATACGTTGTTCCGACGTGAAGTTACTATTGTGAACGACAAGCTCGAGGTGGACTTCCATTCTCATTTCCCCTCGGAGTGGATGAAGCTGCATTTCCAATCTAGCACGAAGAGCTTCATCTATCGGCCTAACCATCTGGACGAGGATGATAGTTTGGCCTTCAAGAAATTGGTCGACTTTGCCGGACGGCTCCCCCCTCGCAAATGCATCCCAAAGAATGATACCTGGAATTTGGGGTGGCTTCATATTAGTAAGGATTAGGGTAAAATCTATTTAACGAGTGCTTTTATAGTAAAATCTTATTATTTTATGCCTCAGTTAAATAGAAAATCAAAGGGTTAGAACATTTTGTTTACACTTATAAACAAATAAAATCATAAACTATGATAGCTAGGAATCGAAGCTTGTACTGAGTTGTTTTTTCACCTCGATGTTATGAACAACAAAGGGAATGTATATTTTTTTTATAAATAATAAATAGTGTGCCTTGGCTTTATACCTTGACTTTATATTTGTTTTACCATTTGTTTCTTTTATTTCCTCTTCTTTTTATTTGTTTTTTTAAATATTTTCTTTAAATACTTTTCTATTTCCTTTTTATTTCAGTTTAAATTTTTCTAATACCCAAAAATACGTAATTTCAATGAGAATTTTTATTTTATGTACTTGTAATCCATCGCAGAGATCTGTAGTAGCAACTCATGATCAAATGGACGATGGTGAATATTTTCTCTCTTAGTGGCGACCACATATAAGTTAGTCTTAGAGTAAAACATGTTTAAAGAGTGTTTTTATAGTAAAATATGATTATTAAACATCTCAGTTTTATTATAAAGCCGAGGTTTTTTATTTTATTTTCTCCTTTTAACTATCACCTTAGTGAATTTTTTTTAAATTACATTGTTTACAAAAAATATTAAAATAAATTGTTTACAACAAATATTTGCTCTTATTACTGAATATCTTCGCTGATATTCAGATTTAGTTGCATTCCCTTCTTTGTTCAAAGGTTAAGCTCTTTTCCTTGTTGGTTAATCTCCATTCTTTGTGTAACTTGAAGCAAGAATAATTTTCTACACTTGCAATCTAACAACTGAGTACACTTGAAAGGTTGAACTTCCTTCTTTAACTGAGGGTTATTCAACAATGATAACATCAACACCATTATGTGAGATAAATTGTAAGGGCATAAAAAATATTTTGTTCAAGATAGACAAACAATTCAGATTTTTTCTATCTTGCAGTCCATCCCAAAGAATGATACCTGGAATTTGGGGTGGCTTCATATTAGTAAGGATTAGGGTAAAATCTATTTAACGAGTGTTTTTATAGTAAAATCTTATTATTTTATGCCTCAGTTAAATAGAAAATCAAAGGGTTAGAACATTTTGTTTACACTTATAAACAAATAAAATCATAAACTATGATAGCTGGGAATCGAAGCTTGTACTGAGTTGTTTTTTCACCTCGATGTTATGAACAACAAAGGGAATGTATGTTTTTTTAAAAAAAAATAATAAATAGTGTGCCTTGGCTTTATACCTTGACTTTATATTTGTTTTACCATTTGTTTCTTTTATTTCTTCTTCTTTTTATTTGTTTTTTTAAATATTTTCTTTAAATACTTTTCTATTTCCTTTTTATTTCAGTTTAAATTTTTTTAATACCCAAAAATACGTAATTTCAATGAGAATTTTTATTTTATGTACTTGTAATCCATCGCAGAGATCTGTAGTAGCAACTCATGATCAAATGGACGATGGTGAATATTTTCTCTCTTAGTGGCGACCACATATAAGTTAGTCTTAGAGTAAAACATGTTTAACGAGTGTTTTTATAGTAAAATATAATTATTAAACATCTCAGTTTTATTATAAAGCCGAGGTTTTTTATTTTATTTTCTCCTTTTAACTATCACCTTAGTG